ATGGGTCATTTGGAGACTGACTGCTGGGGGGGGCATGTGGGGGGGGGGGGATTGCCCTGTTCTAAGTTGAAGGGACGCCATGCCGGGTCGGACTGTTCTGTGCCAAAAGCCAGTTTTAGCCGGTTTGAACTTCCTGAGTAATTGCTGACTGGCGTTTCATCAGCTCTTGACGTCAGCCGAATAGCTGACTCAGCTCCCGGCGAGTTAGGTTGAAGGACTATGGGGTTTTTTTTTTCTTTTCTTTTCCCGGTATTTCTTTCCTTTCCTTTTTTTTTCTTTTATTCTCCCTTTTGTCTCATTCCTTCCTTTTTTTCTCTCTCTCTCCCGTTCATTGGTTTTTCTGCCTTCCTTCTTTTTTTCCTCCCTCCTTTCTTCCTTTGTCTTCCATTCACTGTCTTTCTGTCTTTTTTTCTTTCGTTCTTCCTTTCCTTTATTTCTTTCATTCCTTTTTTTTTGTTCCTCCCGATCATTGGCTTTCTGCCTTCCCTCTTTTTTTCCCTCATTTCTTCTGTTCTTTTTCTTTTTCCCGTTCATTGGCTTCCCGCCTTTCCTCTCGTTTTTCATTCCTTTTTTTCCTTCCGTCCTTTCTCTGTCTTCCATCTTTTTTTTCTTTCATCCACTTCTTTCTTTCCTTCAATGCCTTTCTGCCTGTCTTTTTCTGTCTTGGCTTTCTTTCTTCTACTTTCTTTCTTTGTTTCGTGGTCTTTCTCTTTCATCTTTCTTTCTGTCTCTTTCTGTCTTTCATTTTACATGGTCTTATCCCTTCCTTCCTTCCTTCCTTCCTTCCTTCCTTCCTTCCTTCCTTCCTTCCTTCCTTCCTTCCTTCCTGGAATTTTTCAGATCTTTTCTGCTGGATTGGTGTCCCTTTGACCCTTGGCCCAAACTTTTGGGGGAATTTGTTCTGATGTTACGAAACTTCACAAACAGTGGTTGATTCTGTTCAGAGACTAGTCAGTTTCTCTGGAGTTTGTAAAGTTTCGATCTTCCGAAAGAGAAATATTCCACAATAAGAAGGTTCCAGACAGGACAGCAGCAAAAACCGGGGCATTAAAAATAAGACAATTATTCACTGTCTTTTT